AAGGCCACAACAGCTGCGGGAACCACCACCGAGGCAGCAACAGCTGCGGGAACCCCCACCAAGGCCACAACAGCTGCGGGAACCACCACCGAGGCCACAATAGCTGCGGGAACTCCCACTGAGGCAGCAACTGCTCCAAAAACTACCTCCTAGGCAACAATCACTCCAGAAGCTACCCAGCTGAGGGCACATTGGGGTACCTGCCTCGTGACCCCCAGTCTGAGTTTGCCAATCAATAAAGCTTCTGCAGAAACAGTGAGACCAGGTGTGGTCCTTGGGTCTAGGGTTCTTGGGTTTGGGATGCAACTAAAGCACACTAATCTTGGGGAGGGAGAAGTCCCCAGGGGAGATATCAGGGGACTGAGCTGAGGGGTGGGAAGAGGGCCAGTTGCTGGACACCACTGGTTTTGGTGAGTCAGTCAAAGATGCAGCCCTTTCTGCCCAATGCTGGACCCGTGGAGGAATTGGGGTTCCATCCAAGAACTATGGGTGGGGGGGGGTTCCACCCATAGCAGGCCACCTGGCCTGTGCTGACTAAGTCCCTGAGCTAGGAGTGTGTACAAGGCCCCCGTCCCCACCTCTGCCTGGCCTTGACCTCCGGCATCATCCTTCATTCATTCACTCCCTCATTCACTCATCAGATAATTGCCCATGCCTCACCTGGGCACTGTGGGGTATTCAGAAGGGGCCAGGAGTCCTTTGGGGAGAGGGACACAGAAGCAGAGGGGGCAGTTTGGTGTGGCCTCTATTGATGACAACACAGCAGGCCATCTGTCCAGGGCTGGGGCTGGGCTTCAGGGAAGGCTGCCCGGAGGTGGGCACGTCTGTGCTGAGCTGTCTTCAAAGTGAACTAGCCAGGTGGAGAGGAAGGGGGTGGCTGTCCAGGCTGAGGGGCTGTCCAGGCAGGGTTCCTAAGCCCTTTCGGGGTGCGCGAGGTCTAAACTCTTTTCATTGTAATAAATACTAAGGTGTGATGTGCCTGTTTTGTATCTTTTCATTGCGATTTGGGTGAAAGTTTCCAGAGCAGATCCGTTTTCCATTCGACAGTTAGTTCAGACACATTTTGGTTGCTGCCATCCCCACAATATAGCATCATGCCTCCCACCCCCACTCTGTGCTCCCTTTCCCCTCCTCCTTGGGTCCTGCCCCTTCTGGCCTCTGAGCGTCCTCCCTGGACCAATGCTGCCCGTTGGATCTCCTGTGGGCCTAAGGAGTGGGCCTCCCTGCTCTGACTGTTCATCTTCAAGGCCTATTTACCATTTGGCTGAAAGTTGAACCAGGGTTGTGAGTTCAGTTCCAGGTCTGAAGGGATGTGATGTGCTGTTTTCACCCTGGAATGTGCAATGTCCCCAAAACTTGGGCTTGTGTTCTTGGGTTACAGAAATCCTTTTCAATTATAATTGTTTTGAAAGAGTTCAGCTTTCTCTTGAACATGTTCCCAAAGGAGTTTCCTCAAAAAGGCCAGCACAGTCCTCATGGCTCTCTGAAGAACCCTTCTTCCTTAGCTTCCACTTGCTTGTCCTCAGCGAGGCTGTCTCAGGGTGGAGGGCCAAGCCCTCCCGCTGAGGCAGGTCCACCAGCTCCCCCACTGCGGATGAAGCTCCTGGTGTTGATGTTGGCCAGGGCTTTTGCAAACAAGTGAGGCCACAAAGCTTCAACCTTTACACTGGCTGCTTCAACAAGGACATTGTTCTGGCCTTCCCTAATGGTCACCTCACTGTCCTGCAGGATGAGGGCACAGTACATGCGGATGAGCTGGGAGATTTGTCATGGTCATGGTGTAGAGTGTGGGTCTGGCTGCTGCTGGGCAAAGTGCTGTTCCTGCAGACAGTGAGGCTCTGCCCCAGTGCAGTCCTCAGCTTCCTAGTGACTGTGGATTAAAAGGATCGCATTCTCTGGGTTTACCCCCCACCCCCAAACACACACAGCCAAGGAGTCAGTTCTAACCCATAGCGACCCTACAGAACAGAGTAGAACTGCTCTTTAGGGTTTCCAGGACTGGGAATCTTTATGGGAACAGACAACATCATCTTTCTCCATCTTTAACCTCCGACCTTACGGTTAGCAGCCCAATGCTTCATCCACAGCGCCACTAGGGCTCCTTGAGTTTACCCAGAGACATGATAATGTGTGTCCACACGCACACGTGGGCACAAATGTTCACAGCAGCATCGTTCATAGTTGACAAAAGCTGGACACCATCAAATGTCCTGCCACTGATGGAGGAGTCAGGAGATGTGTGCCCACACCATGGGACCACCCTTTGCTGAGGACAACACCATTAATACACACCACAGCCTGAGGGATGTCCAATTAGTCCTGCTAACGACAAATGGCCAGACATAATTCACTTAGAAGCAATAGCCAGACGTGGCAAATGCAGATCAAGTACCATAGGAGAGGAGTCCTTGTGTGGTGCAGATCAAGTACCATAGGAGAGGAGACCTTCAAGGTCTATGGGTTAATGCGTCAGACTGCAAAGCTGCTTGAACTGCAAGGTCGGCAGTTCAAGCTCATCATTTGCTCCTTGGAAACCCTATACAGGGTCGCTATGGGTCAGAACCGACTCGACGGCACTTAACAATAACAACCATAGAAGAGGAGTTCGAGCTTGAAGCACATTGAATTTCCTGCTGGTGGGGGCTGAAGAATTTTGGAAATAGAGGTGTCAGTTTCACAACATGTGACTGTGGTTACAGCTGCAGAATGTATACCTTGTTGTTGTTGTTAAGTGCCGTTGAGTCGATTCCGACCCATAGCAACCCTCTATAGGGTTTCCAAGGAGCAGCTGGTGAGCTTGAACCACCGACCTTGCAGTTCAAACGACTTTGCAGTCTGATGCATTAGCCCACAGCGCCACCCCAGGACTCCTAGAATGTATGCCTACAAGTGGCAAAATGTTTTCTTGTTAAGTGCCATCGAGGTGGCTCTGACTCACAGCAACCTTGCAGAGAGTTTCCGAGGAGCAGCTGGTGGGTTTGAACTGCTGACCTTGTGTTTTTAGCAGTCCAGTGCTTAACCAACAGAGCCACAGTTTTACATGTAAAACTCAGTGATCCATCTTATAGAAGAAAAATCCTAGGCAAATGAGAGGGTGCCTGGGCAGATCTGGAAAGAGACACACAAGCCAGCTTGCTGCTTGTAGACGGGCAGAGACCAGGTCAGTGGACCAGAAGGTGGCATTGGGGGGCTGTGTCTAACTATTGCTCAGCAGGGTGTAGGTACACACGCCATGCCTGCTAATGATAAAGCCATAGAATGACGTTGACTTCGGCTAGTGTTGTTGAGCACGTTTACCATGCTGGTCCTGGTGTTGTTAAAACCAATGCTCTCACCTAAGCTACTTCCAGTATAGATGGATCCTTGTGGGGTACGTACCCACAGCCCCATAGAGGTCTACCTGAGTTCCTTGGAGCCTACATGTTCCCTCCCTGGGAAAGGGCCTTGCAGAAGTGCCTGAGCCACGATTCTTGAAAGAAAGAGACAGCCCTGGGCTCTCCCAGGGTGGTGACAGGGATGGTCATGTTGATGTAAAAGGTGGAAGACTGACCCCCACAGCATCACTGTGGTGTAAGGAGGTGTTGGGGAGGGAGAGCTCCGGAGAAGGAGGGGAGGAGGTACCATAGGAGGGGAGGAACAAGTAGGAGAATCTGGAACTGGGGGGGTGAGGGCGCTCCAGAGGTCTGGCACAGTAAGATTCCCTTCCATCCTTTATCTGCACAGCAAAACGAGTCAGGGTTTGAGCGTTGTCGCCCAAACCAGCAAAAAATTAGAGACTGGGCGTTGCTGACCTACTGCTCCAGACATGTGCTTGGAGGAGAGATCTGAGGCAGTCATAAATCAAAGGCGGGAGTGGAGTTGAGGGTCGCCCCCTGGTGGACAGGACCACTGGAGCTCACAGCTGCGCATGCACTTTATTCCAAAAGGGTTCAGACTCGCTCTGGCCCTGTCTCCTAAGCCGTCTGCGGTCTCCAGCCTGGGAGACTCAGCTGAGTGTGGTCCAGTGGTGTAGGCACACAGTCTACTGATTCACCCGCCTCAAGACCTCGCTCCGGCCCCAGGGTGGGTGCACCTGCCCCAGCTGTCTGTCCACGTGGCAGCCGGGATCACCCAGACCACAGCTGACTCATTTTACTGGGGATCCGTCTCCATGCCAGTCATGGTGGACTTTCAAGGTCTTGTCATGGGTTCTGGGTGGGTGGCATTTTCAGGGTGAAACTCCATTTGAAGCCAGTGCCCATCAGGCAGGGGAGCCTATGCTGGCTGACCGTTGTCCACCCCTGGACAATAGAAATGACCGAGCAATCAATCCATCCACTTGGTATGTATCTTCACATCCTAAGAGCTGGGACACAAATAGCTCTATGCACAGCCTTGTTCATTATAGCATTATTCACACCAGCAAAAAGATAGAGACTGGAGGCAATTTACACGTCCTTCAACAGAAGAATGCACACACAAAAAAAACACTTTAGTACAAACACACAATGGAATACTACACAACTTTGAAGAATAACAATGAATCTGCAAAACGCCTCACAACATGGATGAACCTGGAGGACATTATGCTGAGTGAAATTAGTTAATCACAAAAGGACAAATACTGTATGAGACCCCTGTCGTAGAAAATTAAGAAAAGGCTTTTTTGGACTTCGGTATGATGGCATACTTGGCAGATGCACTACACAAACCCTCCAACACAAAGATTGTTGGTGTTGTTAAGTGCCATTGAGTTGTTCCTAGCAATCTGCATAAGGTTTCCGAGGAGTGGCTAGTGAGTTTGAACTTTTCAGTTCAAACCTACCTGTGTGTGGTCCAATGATTATCCTACAGTACCACACCAAGACTCCTATTAGAGACCAAATTAAACAGACACAGATGGAAATCCTGGGACCCTGAACTTCAGAAGGAAAGTTAGAGACGTGGCCTGAGGGCATGCTGGGAGGTGACGCTGAGCTGGGACTATGAGAGAAGGAGACTAGTGAGCGGCCGGCCAGACGCGGCTCCACCATCTTGAATCTCTGTGAGCAGTTCTGGCAACACAAGTTGGCCTGGCAGAGCAGATCCACACAGGTGACTGGAAAGGTGCGAGTCTTTCTTTTTCTCCTACATTCTCCTGGTTCCCAGAGGTGTAGCCAGCTCCCACCCTCTTCCACCACTAGTCCAGCCCTGCTCTCCAGGGATTAGGAGCCACTGGGGTTGGCAGCCACACGCCAGTGTTAGGTGGGGCCGGCTGCACCACTTTGGTGTGCCAGTTTTGTGCCTGGATGTAAGTGGGCTTTGGACCTACAGACCCCTCAGAGCCACCAGACCAACATTTAACTAGTCATCCTGCCCCCAGTGCCCTGTGGTCCTAACCTAACACACTGAAACTAGATCCATCAAGGGCCTCCGTGAACTACTTGTGGATGGAGTGCCTTGAACCCTAAAGCCCATAAAAACCCCAGGAACCCTGCTGCCGCAACCCTCCCCCAACCACCTTGTAAGATGCTCAGCTTGCAGGAAGTTTCCTCTTCGGGAGACAACAGCTGGCTGTGTTTCTGTTTCGGGGTTTGGGTTTTCCTTTTGTTGTTTCATTGCTTTTGTTTTGTTTGCTCTTGCTCCTCGTTTTTTCTTCCCATTCCCTCGACTTTTATCCTTTCTATCTGTTTTTGTTTTCTCTTCTTTTCTTCTCTCAGTTCCCCTCTATTTCTCCCCCACCCTCCCCTGTCTTTACTGCTCTCTATCCTCTTTCTCTTGCCATCTTCCTTCTCACTGGTTTTGCTAAGGGTTATTTTTATTTCTTTATTTTCTCTTTTATAGTTCCATTTCCTGTCCTTCTTTTCTCTTTTTGGTTATGATATTATTTTTTCTGGTCTCTGCATGTTTCTAATTCTGCTTTCTCCTTTATGATTGTCTCTTTCATTGTTGATTGCTTGCTTGTTTATTCTGTTTTGAATCCTGGTGTGTACGTGGTGGGAGGCAGGGGTGGGGTGGGGAGAAGCCTTACTCCTTTCCACCCAACAAGAGACAGCAACAGTGTCCTTACAGCCCAGCACAACCACATCCTCTGCAGCTCCACCCACTGGGCAAGAGCCAAGACCAGCTTCTATACCACCTCATCAATGATAGACAATAGCCAACATCAGCCAAACACACCTAAACTGAGGGATCGATGGTGAATGTGCACATGCTCCATTCTCAAACTCGTCCACAGGAGACCCTCAGTGAGCTCCTAAGAACACACCAGCATGCAATCATCAACTAAATACAAATATGAGAACACCACAATGTCCCAGAGGCAACAAACAATTTTAGCTCACACGAAGAAACAAGAGGGAATGGCACAAACAAATGACTAAGAAAATTCTGAGGAAGAAAAGGTAATGGAATGAACTGAAAAAGAATTCAAAAGGGTATTTAGGGACCTACAAAGAATTGACAGAAAGATCAAGGAAAGCAAAGAGAACCCAGAAACAATTTTAGAAGAATTCAGGAAAACACTACAAGAACAAACAAACAAAATAAATGCAAAATTTGGAACAATGAGAAGTCCAGAAGATTAATACTAACATATCAGAAATGGACAATACATGGAAAGGGCAAAGGAATATATCTGAAGCGATGTAAGTCCTAATTAGTGAGTTTAAAGATAAATCTCTCAGGCCCAGGATGCTAGAAGAACAATCAGAAAAAGAAAAAAATTAATCCAAAGAAAGCCTAAGAGTTCTGTGAGATACCATGAAGAGGAACAACTTATGGATGATCAGAATTCCAGAACAGAAAGAGACAGTAAAAAGCACAAAGAAAATTGTCAGAGAGTTGTTGGAAGAAAACTTCCCTAACATTTTGAAAGACGAGAAGATTAGCATACAAGAAACTGAATGAACCCGAAACAGAAG